TCAGCACTGTCTGACAATATTATTAAATAAACAATATATTAACATATAAACTCTAAGAATTAATTAGCACTGTGTGACAATTTTGTCATATTAACAATATATTAATGTAAACTCTAAGTATTAGCTAGCACAGTCTGTCAGATAGATTCTCATTTTATTTTATTACTTAAATTTAACCTTTAGGATGAATAATAAAATAAGTATATTTATTTATAAACTTTTTAAATTTTATATGTGTATAAATTTTTTGAATATTGAAAAGGGGATTTATTCGCGTTATAAAAGATATATAAATTTATATGTAAAAATTAGTAGAAATTATCATCCACTAAAAGAAAAAACGTAAATGGATGCTTTTTTTCACCTGCAATATTTAATTAATTTGAGCATTGAAATTGCAAATTTTTAGGGCAAACAAATGCTAATTAAGTATAGAAAGTTTGTGTGTTCTATGCACAGGAAAAGACGAGAATGGCTAAATCTGCACTTCCATTTGCAGTAACTGACAAAACACTACAAGACAAATTTGAGGCGGCCACTAAATTCCAAATTTGCTGACAGATAATATTTAAGAGGTTGGCATATGCTTTTTCTTTACGTTATTTGTATGTATTTTTTAAATTATAAATAATTCCATACTTATACAAAATATTTCCATTTATACTCCTTTTTAAGTTTTAATACATATATATATATATACATATATGTTATATTCTCTTTTAGTATGCAGATTTGAAATATCTAATTACAATGTTGCAGTAAAATGCTGAGATTCTCTTCCTCAGTATATATGATTATATTCGGTAACAGTTTTTTTAAATAATTTTTATAGTGTTCTGTAACACGCACGCTCTCTCTTTCTATATATATATATATATATATGTTCTGTAACACGCACGCTCTCTCTTTCTAACACCGCAACGTCTCTGTCTTTCTATATATATATATATAATATTATATATATATATTATATATATTATATATATATATACTAATATATATTATATATTATATATATATATATATATAATATATATAGCTATATATATATATATTATATTATATTATATATATATATATCAGCTCCGATATATTATATCAGCTCCGATATATAAAAGGGAAGCTAGCAAGGTTCAACAACAGGTTGCATGCAGCTTAACATTGCTTGGAAAGAAGATTTAATCTCAATGGTTGCCTGAAAATTTCCTAACTATGAATACCGATCGAATAATATATTGTTTTGCGCTTAATTTCCTATCAGAAAAAGAATAGATATGCATTTTGTTTGTTCTTCGTTTCAAAATATAAAATAAATCAACAACTCATCTGAAAATTTGAAATAATGTTTTCAACTGATATCCTGGTACCAAACAGTACGAAAACCAAAAAAAGCAACATACACATGGACACACATGTAAGAACACTGAATTAGGGCAGACAAGGGTTGTAGATAATTTTTTTTTTTTTTTTTTTTAAATTGCACAGAAAGAAACTCTTCTTTATATAGACATAGAAAATATAGTTTTTGCTGTTTTGCATTGGAAGTGATCAATCTTGTCTTACATGTTCTTCATTTGACTAAATCTTATGATTAGATCCTGTTGTATCGCTGGATGCTTCATGTGCAATTCCTTAATCTTTAGCTTCATTGCCTAAATTATTTTACTTCTGTATTGAAAATTAATTAACAAATATAAATATATAATTGAAATTTGAAACTTAACTATATTGTTGAATCAATTAGAACCCACTTTTGAACATTCTGGGTTCAACGTTTTCCTTCTTCTCTTCTCTTCTCTTCATATTGACTTGAACAAAATGTTTTATTAATTAATTAATTGATTATATACCTACCTTTGAAGAATTTATGTAGAGGACAAGGGAAATGAAAGATTAATTATATATAATTAGTAATTTTGTATGAACCAAAAAGGAAAAAAAAAAAGGTTAGTACTTTTGTTGCCTTTTACTAGGAATCAACAATTTAGAACATGTTCCTCAAAAGAACAAAATTGTAGAACATGAAGATTATTTAAAAGAGGGGGAAAAAAAAAAAAAGAAAATTTCTGGTCTAATCGTAGCAGAAACAAGGCAATCCAATTTTCACAGCTGTTTCTTATTCCTGAAGTTTGGAGTTAATATTCTACATTTTCTATATCCAAGATTGAAGTAAGTTTAATATTCAAAATGATAAAAAAATAAATTTTGAATCCCAAAGTCTAAACTCGCATATACGACTTTGTCAAAGATATTTAAATATGCGAATATGTGTGTCACAGTTATTGGTATATATAATTATTGGTATATATATTAATATACTTATTATATATAATATATATATATAGTTATAAAATATATATATATACAAATATATATATATATAAAATTAATTTATTTGTGTGTTTCTACATCAAACGAGGGTGAAGATTCGTTTTATATAAACATTAGATAAAAAATATAATAAAATATAAAATATAAATAAATAAGAATAGGAATGGAGCCAAATTTAAAAATTAAAAGGACTAAATTAAAAAGATTGTATTATTTTACTAGGAAAATTTTAAAAAATTCTGAAATTTAGGGGAACTGACTCTTGAATAAACAGTAAAATATATGTATTGTTTTTTTTTTTTCTTTGTTTCTACTCTGCTCTGACCGAAAAAGAAGCTCAGAAAAAAAAATATTAAAGTGCCTTTCAATAGATCTAGCTAACTAATATGATAATGACAATCATAGTTTTTGTTATTCTGTAAAATAATTATGTAACTAAAAATGAAACATTTGGACGGCAGAAATATGTAAAATACAAAGTTAAATTATTGCCAAATCATCTTATTTTCGATTCTAACCAAGTTGATGAAATTAAAACATTTATATTAATTATTTTTTGGATGGATATTCATTATTAATATTTATAAAACTACATCAACCAAGTCTAAGGTATAGCCTACAGGGAACAAGAAAAATATATTATTAATTTTCTGCTTATATATATAATCTATTAATCTAAAATTAATATTGTAATCTAGCATTTTTTTTTAACACAAAAAAGGAGAGAAGTACAATATCAAACACCATTAATAAATACTTTTCTTAAAAGGAAATATTTTCTTAAAAAAATACTTTTCAAATAATTCATTTTTTATTTTTTGATTACAATATTGAAAATTATTTAATAAACACTCTTCAAAATAGAAGCTAATAAATAGCAGAACTTTTAATTTTACAAGGCTTAAAAATACCTAGATTTATAAAAAAACTTCATATTTTTATAGTTAAATACAAAAAAAAAAAAAAACATAAAGATAATTAACTGCGGTAGTTATTAACAAACGGTAACTGCTGATTAGCGTTGATTAACAGTAGCTGACAATTATGATTATGAGCCATTGATGAATTATAACAAATATATACATTTACGTATTTTTATTATAACAAATTAATTTGTTAATATTCAAAAATTTTTCCCTCTCTTAATAAATTAAGGAAGACATTTTCTTTACAATGATTTAATTTTTTTTTCTTTTGAACATAAATAATTTTTGTTAATTTTCTGAATTTTTTAAATATAAAAAAATCTAGAAAACATTTGTTTAAGAAGCTTTTTTTTTTTTTTTTTTTTAAAAATTTGTTTTTTTTTTTTTTTTTTTGAAAAAAAAGGGACATCAATTACTCTGTACATAGATAGATTGTTGATAATTTAAAAGGCTATTCGTAAATATATAGCAATACGGCTAGAAAATTTTTTTATAATTTGTTGAAGAAACTCATATAAAGATGTAGGAATCTGCTCGGAGATTGACAAATCAATGTTAAAAATAATCTTTGGAACTAAATATTATATTAAACTCAGTTTTTTTCGTCAGCAATTTAAATTGTATTTATTAATCAATTAAGTTCGAGAAAAAATTTATATAGCCCGATTCTAAACCCAAGTCAATAGGCCTCCGCGTATGCCAATCGAGTCGAGATATATCAAGTGAGAAAACCGAGTCAAATACATTACAAACAACACAAAAACAATAACAAACAGAAGTTAATTTGGTTCGAAACTAATTATCAAACTCAATTTCAATTGAATAATATATATAGACATATATACAATTAACTCAATCTACATGAATTATGAAAATAATAACTTCAACCGATGCAATCATAATAAGAGAATGTAAAATTACATTTGGCTTATTTAAGAACACTAAAATAGACCTCATGCAATGTATATTTTAGTGTTCTTAAATAAGCCAAATGTAATAATATCCACAAATATTAAAAATAAAATTAATCACGTACTGAAAAAGTGGGAACACTTGCAAAGAAAAAAAACGACAGTTTTGTTGTTTGTGTTCACGTGAAATGAATATGACACGATTATTATGTTCTAGCTTCTTAGATTTGGACATGGCATATAAAGAGACAAGTACGGTTTACATGCACACCACATAAATGTATAGCAGGAGAAAAATGAGTAAAACAATTATAATAAGGAACATAAAGAACTCATTTTTTATTTCTCTAATTAAAATTCCATTATTCATTTATTATTCTTTAATTTCTTGTTATCATAATTTTTGACACGACAATTCGTTTGGCATATTACGTTGGAGATGAAGAGGTAAAAGCTAAACTTCAAGAGCTAAATTGAAGAATATGGCATGCAAGAAAACAATAAGAACATAATATAAGTAGTATAAGCATGAAGAAGAATTACCTGAGTAAAAGTATTTATGCATTATTATATAAACAATTAATTATGCATTTATTATCTAAACCCATTTGTGAATGAAATATAGTTCTTTAAGCCCACTTGTGCATAGTATGAATTTTCAAAAGCTGAAGTTGTTCATGAAAGCAGTTGAGATAATTCTATCTTTTTTTTTTTTTTTTTTTTAATAATTTCTATCTTTTTTTTTTTTTTTTTTTTTTCTGTGCTTTCTTTTTTTTTTTTTTTTTTTTCTGTGCTTTCCTTAGAATTGAATGCAATAATTGAAACATTTAGAGAAGGGAAAGCATTCGCATTATTTCTATTTTCTAATAATAAACATATTCCATCATTTTCAACTTTACACAGAACCAAAATAAACAGGATGGACAAAGAAAGCTTAACCCCACCATCTGCGCAAGAAATTGATTATAACAAACAAAAGGTAAAATCAAAAAGAAGAAGAAGAAAAGAAGAAAATCAAGATTCATAATCAAGATTATCAAGAATCAAGAAAATAATATTGAAAGAAAATGTTTCGAAACAGATTATAAACATATAGTCACCAATTAGGATTAGGACTTCCTTCACAAGATGAACTCAATAGCTCCTCTAAATATTCTGCTCCTAAATCTTCCAATACGACCACATTTTGCTTTCTACTAGTGTTTACTTCATTAGTCTCTTTTTTACTTTTCTTGCTTGTTGACTTTCTTCTCATCGAATGTTTTTTCTTTAACGCTATAACCGGCGAACACCCATCTTCAAACCGGTATTTGATATCTTGAAGCGATTCTCTTACTACTTCCACCGGAAAGTTCAGTATGGCCATCGAACCACGCATGGAAAATGCTGCTTGATCATAAGCTAAAGCTGCCGCCTCTGCGCTATCAAAAGTTCCTAACCAAACTCTGATACCATTTCTGGTCGAATCTCTTATTTCGGCGGCGTACTTTCCCCATGGCCTCTTTCTTACTCCTCTATAGCTTTTTTCTTTTCTTTCTTCTTTCGATGTTACTTCTTCTCCTTTAGTGGCTCCGGTCGAAGAATTTGACTCCGACGATTCTTTATTGGTGGTTTCCGGTTGAACGTTGAAAAGAATCATTTTTTCGGAGTGATTGACAGAGAAAGAGTTGGATTCGAAAACAAATGAATTATGATCGTTCCAAGAAAATGATTCTTCAAAAGAATCGAAAGAGAGCTCTGGTTTTAGGTATTGGTTGAAGAAAATAGTTTCCATTCTTGGTTCTTGGATCTTGACTATGTTCTTGATAAGCAAAGTCGTTACCCTTTATATACATACATATATATATATATATATAAATTAATAATACATATATATAGGTATGATATGTGTATGTATATATTAATATTACACATAATCAAGAGAGAGGCAGTTGCTACATGTTTGATAAATAAGAAAAAATTCTTTTCAGAGGATGAAATTATTTAATATTTTTATTATTATGATTATTTGATCTTGAACCGAAGGATTGGTTAGGTTTTCAGGGTAGCTTCTTGTTTGAGCTGCATTGTAAGAACTCTCTATGAGGGAAATTAGGGGTGTGGTCTTTCTGTGGTGGTTCAATCGCTCCACATGATCAAAATTAGCCGGTCGGCGAGCTTTGTAGACACATAAGTTGCTGATTTGCATCACTCATTCTTATGACGTAAAACATCTCCACAGATTTTAACTGGTTCTTGGCCATGGCATTCCTATGTGGGTCTGTATACGATGCAAATGAACTTTATTCTTGTTGCTCTCATCTTTCCTGTGAGTTTGTAACTAGGAACAGTTGTGTGTTGACAGTTGAATACGGCACAGTTGTAAACAATATTTTTTCATCCATGCTCATTCCTTGTATCTGGATCAACTCTGGAGATAGTATATATATTATATATATTACTATATATATATTACTGGATTGGTTTTCACAGAATAAGGTAATACTATCTATATATAGTATATATATATATATATATATTACTATTTTTCACACGACAAAGCTAACTACATAATAAGCTATTATTATTAAACATGGAAACTTATTTTTTGAGTGGAAATATAAACTTTTTGTATTAATTAAATTGTTATCTCGTTGTGTTAGAATTAAATCCAACTCGAATCAAAGGGATAAGACGCTGCTCATGGATACATTAACTACAACCAAAATATCCTATGAGCAGCAGACTGCAGATATTTAACTTACCATATGGTCCACAGCTTCAAAGATGCTTATGCAATGCAGCTAGATCTAAGGACAATACAATATTTCATACTTAAATCCGTGTGCATGTGATATTTTTCTATCTACAATAAATACTAGATTTAACAAAATTAATTTAATATTTTTTTTTTCTTGTTTATACCTAGATCTTGTTGTTAGTTTTTTTATAGCGTAAAAATTACATTTTTTCGAAGATAATATTGAATATTAATATCATTTGAATAATATTACCGTTCTAATGTTTCAAAAATTAAAATAGAATTTTTATTTTTCATTTTTAGTTTATTGAGAAATTTACTTGTTGTGGTAGTATCTTTTTTTGAAAAAAAAAATTTTTTACATAATTTGTATAACTAACTGATATAATAAATGAGTCACGTTTTGCATAAATGGGTAAAGTTATAAAATGTGAATCTATCAAGACTCGCATGAAAAGCATATATAAAAGAGGATTCATGTGAACATAAAGATAGCATTTGGAATGAATAGGTAACCTTAGCTTGGCAGACCCTAACTTTGCCCCTCGTCGTTAAAAAACAAGAAAAAAAAAAATTGCCTAGATTGGTTAATGACCTATCATATGGACCAAACTAATGAAAATATGAAATTTTTCAAAAGCGTTTCTATTTTATCCTTTTTTTTCTCATGTATTGTTATCACCACTTTAATTTCAATAAAAATTTATATTTTTATTGATTTGTCCATACAGAGAGTCATGAGACCGGTCTGAACAAGTCAATCCCCAAAAAATTATATATAGACCTCTAGAACTATAAATAAATCAAGTCATTATTTGAAGTTGAATTTAATTCGGGGAAAAAAAAAGTTTGGTTCTTAAATTCAAGTTCAAAGACCACCATTATTTTTCTTTTTTAAAGCTACAAACTGAATTTAGATCGAACTTTATTTTTTGAGTTTCAATCAAGTTTGAATATGAATATTTTTTTTAATAAATGAAATTAGAGTTAAAATTTAATAAATTGATTCAGTTGAATTTATTTATATGTCAAATATTGTTTTTTGCTCAGTAAAATTTCTTTTATTATTAAAATTCAGAAAAAACTTAATATAACCAAGTATCTAAACCCTGTAAGCCATCAAACCTTCTCAATACACATATTTTAACTTGAAAATGCTAAGTAAAAAAATCCTGTAAAATATATATATATATATATCAAATATATAAATACAAGTCAGGGTTTATCGTGACATCAACTGAAAAGATTTGTGAAAAAAGACATTTGGTCATAAAATTGGTATTTTATAGGAGAGGTATGTATACATCCCCCATTTATGAGGTTCTCGAAAGCTTTCAAGGTCTTGGTGAGGACAACATCTATTTTGAGTGAAAGGTTGAATTTCTTCTATGTCTTCCAGAAAGAAAGGGTTGCTATAGTGTGCATGTTGTGACAGTTTTTTTTTTTTTTTTTTTTTAAATGTCTTTTTCCATTTTTTTTTTCTTGAATAATTGGTGCCACCTAATCATATTAAGTTTTTTATCGACTCAAACATATAATTAAGGTTAGTTCAATTTGAAAAAAACTTATTTATGTTTGATGTATATATTTGGCAAGTCCATTGATATTTGTTCATTGAAGAACAAAAAAAAAAAAAAAATAGTTGGCAAGTCCATTGATATATTGGTTATTAAGACAAAAAAAAAAAAAACTACTTAAGAGTGAAAATTCATACTCAATTATGTTGATAATTTACAATATAAGTTAAAACATTCATTAAAACAAAAAAAAAAAAAAGTCTACTAAGAGTGACAAATCACTCAAATTAGGTTTGATAATTAACAATTAAGTAAAACAATTCATTTTATGCAATCACCAAATATTTGACTTTTTATTTCAAATAATCAAAGGTTATATTATAAAGTAGTGTTTCATTGGAAATACATAATATATATATAATTGGATATTAACATATTTATATATATCCACTCTATTTTATTTTCAAAATGGGATAAATAAAGAGTCGGTCGAAATGAATATTTCTCGAAATTATTTAAACCGACGATTTTTATAGTTTTCAATTTCATACTCCCTCCTAATTATTACTATTATTATATATTACTATCAATGAAAAAACTCCTATTTTCCTAAAAAAAAGAAAGAAATAGAAGAACTCTTATTAATAAGGTATTGATTGAGATAATAAGTGATTTCAATCTTTATTATAAAGATGAGAATAAAAATTAAATTCTTAAAAAATACATTTATTGAAAAAGCCAAAACCTTCATAATCTATAATCCAAGGAGATTCCGTCTCATTTAAAAAAAACAATACAATGAAACCTCTCAATTAAGTTAGAAGATTCTAAATAAAAGCCAAAAATGAATTTAAAAGAAAACAAAAATTCAATAAAAGCAAGCTCCTGTCACGTGATAATGGTGGCTATTGGTCCTCTCTCTATATATATGGTCATAGTCATTGAGAACTTACTCTCTGGACCCTGATCAATGAATACAAAGATAAATCCCAATATATGTAAATTCTACCAATTAGAACCACATGATGTGAAATGTTTCACTTATGGACATGATTGTTTTTCTGATAATGATTATTTAGTATTTAGTATTTTGACAAAATGATTAGTAGATAGAAATGCCCTTATAGAAAAAAAAATAGTGCCTGATGATTCATAGTACATGGTCACTTCCAACCTACGAAAATCACTTAATTATTTATTATTATCATATAGTAATCATCATTATCATTAATTTAATTAACTAATTACATCCTTCCACCAATGACTGAGTCCGGCACACTCTCTTTTTAACTTTTCCTGACCTACCTGATGATACATATCCAATTCAAGATTCCATGGTCGGTCCGGCGCCGGCGCCAAGATCAACAGTCAATCCAAGAATTGGGTTTGTAGTTATAAAGGGTCATTAATTATATTTCAACCTACTTTCTTGGTCAACAATAATTATTGAATATTCCGTTCAATTGTCCAAGAAACCAATTAAAATCAATAAAATATAAATTCCCAATTCTCAACTTGTTTTAGAAATTGTTTTTAATTTCTTTTTATTATTTATTTATAGCCACCTTTCTTGTTCATGTAAGAAATATGACCTTATCAATTATCAACTAACTTATTACCTAAATAGGAAATCATCCAATAATCCATTTATTCTTCTCAAAATAAAATAAAATAAAATAAACTCACTTATCACTACCTTTTTTTTTAGCTCGATATACTCAATTATTTTAAAATTTTTGTTTTCAAAAATTTTATTTTCATTTATACGAATTATGGAATCAATTATCGAGGATATAGTTGGTATCTGCGATCGTACTCGTTTTAGTAAAAATCGAGATATCCACACAAATTATTATTTGCATATGCAAAAAGAAATATTTAAGACAAATTGAGTGTCAATTAGAGTGTACTACTACTATCACTGTTCATTAGACATTATTTCTTACAATTTCAGGCAAGTTGCCAATTTTTTTGGTTGATGGGACCATAGAAATGGAACATCAAATTAAGGTTCATGAATCTGTATAACTCATAGATCACGTCAAAAAATTTTGCACATATATACAACGTGTCCTAAATCAAAAGCAAAAAAACAAGGGTTTGCTTCAATTTTGGTTTTTGGGGGGGGTTGAACGTTGAAATATACTTATAAGCAACTTGGCTTTAGTTGCCAATATTCCCTTGGTGCAATTTAACTTTAGGAGCAAGTGCATGCATCTTTTGAGTGCTTTTGATCCTTCAAATATATTTTATATTTTTGAGTTGAAAGGGAAATCTCGATTCCATCTTTATCCACTCTTCATGAATGGCATATGCTTCTTCTAGTTAATTCATTTTAAGAAATTTATTAATTACTTTTATTTAAAAGATATGTATAATTACTCATTTTTCATTTAAATTTGTTTGCAATATATAATTTATGAATCAATTTGAATAGGAATTTTTAAATATTTAATACGTTAAGGTTTGAGTTTTTAATTTATTGGATTACAAAATAAATATTCCACTGTTAAACTAATAATCCAATTAAATTTCCACTCCCACAAAAAATAAGTTCCATAAATTTTATTAGTTAGTTTTATTTAATAATAATGTATAGGGCAAAAATTCATTTAATAATTGAAATTAGACAAAAGAAATCCATTTGTTCAAAGCATTTATAGGATAGGAGGGGCTTAAATGGCATTTCAAATCAAACTATTTCTAGAATGGTCTTGACTGTTCTAGAAATGTCCAAAGTTTGAACCTGTTTTTTGGTGATAAGATTTTGAACCAATAATTGAATACTACCACCCAGTGTGGGTGAGGGACCTTTGCAGTTTCCTTGTCAAAGAAGGCCTATTAATTACATGTAATTAATGATTAATTATAGCTAATTAAATATGCTAAACAATGTATTACGCTAATAATGACACTTAAGGCAGTTACACTATTAACTTTATGACATGAAAAATGATCTTCGTAGTTAGCAAAATAAGGGTGTGTTTGAAAGTGTACACTATTCAAATAGAGTTTTTAGTCAAACGTCAAAAGAAAAGATGATTTAGGAATATTAATTAAAAGCAAAAAAAAAAAAAAAAAAAAAATAGGAAATATTAATTAAAAGCAAAAAAAAAAAAAAAAAAAAAAAAAAAAAAAAAAAAAAAAAACCATTTAAGCAATGTATCAAGATAAGCTGACCTATATTAAGACATGGGATTAGGAAAAAAAACCATATTTTTATACGTTTATAATTAAAAACATAAGAATGGGACAACAAAATCAGATTTGGTGTTTGGGCATGTCATGCAACAAAAACTTTATGGTAAAAAAAGGTTAAATGCATGCACTAAACTAGGTTTGAAGGCCATTAAACGTCAATTTTTCTATATACAATATAAATATAATCACTTTCCTTGAAGTTGCTTTGCTTTGCTTTGCTTTGGGGGAGAGAGAGAGAGAGTGTGCTTCAATTTGGTCAAGAAGATTTGACTTGTGAAGAAAATCCAAATTAATGGCAACTCTTTCTTACATGTTCTCTTTCAATAGGGTATCCTCAAATTATTGGTCTATATATATTATTTCATTGTTGAATAAGCAATTATGTCATTTTTGGATTTTCTTAATTAAATATGTCTACTAGTTAAAAGATGTGAAAAAACACCAATGAATAGTTTTTATATGGATTAATATTTAAGAAGCTTTCAACACTCGTATGCAATTGAGTTATTTAATTTTAACAACGTTGTTTAAGGTTTGTTTCTCTTAAATTCATATATTTAAGTGTTTAAATTCTATGAATGTGAATTATATATTTCTATTTTAATCAATTGAAAAAAAAAAATTAAAACTTGTATGATAATTTTTTTTTATTTGTATTTTAACCGATTAAGGGAAGGCGCGAAATTAAAAAAAAAAAAAAATAGTAATTTAGTAATTTAGTAATTGTGGACCAAATTAGACATTTAATTAATCAATTTTCAAAGTATGTATTCTCTAAATATATGGCTTTTTTTTTTTTTTAGCAATTCAAATAAATATGTTTTTATTACTGCTTTAACATTTTCAGATGGTAATTAAACTTTGAAAACGTCAGTCAGAGACAGAAATTTGGAATGTCAACTAAAAAACTACCTTGTCTTGTCTGGACATAGTTGCAGTCAATTCTACTTCGTCGTCTATTATAATTTATAGCCTTCGGCTTAAAATAAAAAATTAAAATAAAGAATGGGCCTTTCAAATATTTGGGCTTGAATTCAACAATTACTTGATCCACTTTAAAAGTTAGACTACTTGCTGTGCTCAGTGTTCACCAGTCAACAGCCCAATAATAATTTCCATTGTTGCCTTTCAATTTTATATATATATTTGTTTACATATCAGAAAAATGTAATTTTCAATTTAAACTACTATAAATTTTAAATTATTAAATAACATTTGGATCGCTGAATTGCCGTTTCGCTTTTCAATTTTTTTTTTTTTTAAATGGCAGAAAAAGTAATATAGGATTTCTAAACTGCTCCAAAAAGATGACTTACTAATGAAGGATTCGAAGGCTAAGATGTGCTTATTGCTGTTGAATCTATATTTATATATTTGTTTCATTTAAATTATTTTTCTTTCTTTTTTTTTTTTTTTTTTTTTTTTTTTTTTTTGCCCCTTTTAATTCAGCAATAAGGTAGTACTCTAACCTAGTAAAGAATTGGGGTGTATGAGTCATTACTTTAATTAGTGGAGGATCAATATTCAATTAATGGATCATAAAAAATTTTAATGAACAATATATTATAAATTATTAAAATAAATTTTTTTTTTTTTTTTTTTTTGCCCCTTTTAATTCAGCAATAAGGTAGTACTCTAACCTAGCTAAAGAATTGGGTGTATGAGTCATTACTTTAATTAGTGGAGGATCAATGATTCAATTAATGGATCATAAAAATTTTAATGACATATATTAATTAAATTATTAAAATAAAAAATAATTAAAATATCTAAAAGTCAGTCCAGATCAATTTGGTCTGTATGGATCAATCGGTTCAATCACGGGTTAGCCGATTCAATCACGAGTCAGTCGATTCAATCTGATTTTCTTTCTTAAATGGTTAAAAATCAAAACGTGCTCAACTTTAAGGCTGATTCTCCAAGTTGATCCCTCCGGTCGGGCTGAGTTTAATAAATATGTCAAACATGCGTTAAAAGATTAATTAAAGCTTTTCTCATACTTAGTCGGAATATCTAGATCTCCCACTTATTTTGTTAATTAATCTTTTTTTTTTAATTTATTATAAAAAAAGAAAGAGAAAGAATATGATGCAAAAATATAAATAACTCAAATTCTTTACGCTCAAGAATAGAAATTAAAAGATATTCCTATAAATTATTATGTCTTTGTAGTCTATATGTGCAAGTGGACTTCACTTTTTCATGGTACCCTAAAGATACGAATCCAGGTTTGAGATTTCTCTCTAGTAAATGCTGATAAAAAAAAAAAAAAATTGGGCTTTTCTACTTTGAACCTAATCAAAGTTATGTTTTTTGGATTTGTAACAAAATTGATGTACCACCATTAGAGAAATATGTGATTGAAATTCGTGAATTTTGACTGTATTAAACTTTGAGATTCAAAAATGAGATTTGATTAAGTAAAATTTGAGAAATAAAAATTAGGGTTTTTACGCTTTTATTTATTGAGTGAAAATCAAATTAGAGTAACGAGCAAATGATTCAAATTTGATGTTTTTAATGGTGACAAAATGAGAAAAAAAAAATATAAGAATAGATAAGTGTATTCGATTGTTCTAATTTAATTTATAATATTATTATACGAATAAAGTATCAAAATTAATTAAATTAACCCGCCCCCCATAACACAAAGAACTTCAAATATTTGCCCAGGTCAGTGAAAACCTCAGCATCCACTACCTGCATATTTATATTATTATGGAGTATGAATCTTAATTTGCTTGTTTTTGCCCAAATCCATTGAACACAAAGAATATCAAACCTTGATAGAAAAAAAAAAAAAATGCTTACCTTGTACAATAATGTTCCAAAAAGGCATTTTAGGTCTTTAAAACATATTGGTGTAAGCAAAATTTCCATTTCCCAACAAATAAAAGTGAGAAGCTTCCTTGCAAGTACACAATAGAATCCAACCGTCAATTAAGACCCATCTTTTATTTTTTTTCAATTTGCCAATCACAATCATTTTATGCTCTTATATATATGTCCTCTATTCTAAAACGTGCCACCAAATTTGAAATCAAACTATCTAGACCCTTTTAGTTGGTTAATAGTTATTCCTTTTACCTATTTGGTCATCTGATAATCAAGAAACTAAAATCTTTCTTCACCTGAAAACCAAGACATGGAAGCAACTGATCAAGTAGGGAATAATAAGAACTCCAAGAAACAAGACAGAGGAAGTGCAGAAACACGGTACCGCGGAATTCGCCGGCGTCCATGGGGTAAATTTGCAGCAGAGATACGTGACCCGACAAGAAATGGTGCACGGCGGTGGCTTGGAACGTTTGAAACCGCGGAGGAAGCTGCAAGAGCATATGACAGAGCAGCTTTTGCTTTTAGAGGTCATTTAGCGATTCTTAATTTCCCTAATGAATATCAGTACAATAGCCACAGCTCACCCCTGCCGTCATTTGCTTCTTCTTCTTCTTCTTCTTCTTCTTCTGCTCCTCCTGCTAATTATGGCGTGGTGGGTTCTTCTGGAGGGCAAGAAGTTATAGAGTTTGAGTATTTGGATAATAAATTGTTGGAAGATCTTCTTGAAACAAAAGAAGTTAGCAATAATAAGGCTCATTGGTAGTTTATACCGATTGAATTTTTTCTTTTTTTAAGTTAAACGTAATTCTTTAAATTTTTGGTCATTTAATTGTTTGATTTGTAATTTTTATAACGTTTAAACATTGATTTTCCATTTTTTTCTCTAATTATGCAAGTCTGCAGAGTACATTTTCATATTTCATAAAAAGAAAATTAAAAGAAATCTCAATTAATAACATTACACCTGAATTATAATATCATTTGAATACTATTTTCAGCCCCAGATTATCAAGTTATTAATCTTAAATTTAAAATTTTTGACTAAAATATGGATTAGAGAAGAGTGTGTTTTTTCCTTTTTCATTTTTTATTTGGTAATGGGTGAGTTGGATAAAATGACGTATGCACACTGTATACATTACATTGCCTACAGCAAATGGTCTTGAAGGAATCAATAGAAGGTCAAATGGTCAACTAAGGTCTTCTTGAATTTGTTGACCTAAAAAAAATAATCAATCTTATGTCATAAAACACCTCAGCCCAAAAGCTGCAATTCCAAATAGCCAATCAAAAATGAACACTTTCAATTGACGGCTACATATTAAAATGTGGTAGAGAAAAGGAGTCAATTTAGCATTTTGGCGCCAATTAATCATTCAACATTTTTCAATTAAATAAAAAAAAATAAGAAACAAAAGTTTAATCAGGTGAGACAAATAGCAGGTTTTAATTTATAATTTAATAAATTACCCATTTCCCACTATCTGCAGTTCCATTAATCAATCCAGATTGTCGTAATTAAGAAACTAAAGAAGAAATCAAAATCAAGTATAAAAGATTAGTAAAAGAAATAACATATATAATTAAAATTATTAGTACATAGCACATCCTTTATAGAACTACATCTGATTATTATCGGTATACAGTTAATTTTTTTTGGTTAAAAAGGGTCACTGAAAGGGACCCACAAAGTACTTAAAGGTTAACTAACTAACTAACTACCTTCATCTGGCGCCAAATTGAAGGATTTCCATTTTTATTCAGAACTCTGTTTATGAACATTGATAAGTAGTTCCAATTCTATAACATGAAAGGTTCAATCTTTATTCTGATCATCAAAATCAAGAAGATCCTCGAGCAACTTGTCATCCAAGCACTCAAATTCAATCACTTGTTTCCCTTGCTCAATCTCTCTTCTTTCCACATTCTGTAAAATTGAGGAGGAAGAAGAAGAAGAAGAAGATGAAGAAGAAGCAGAAGAAGAAGAGGAGGAAGAATAAGAAGAAGAGGCAGCAGAATGAACCTTTTTTGGAGGGTGTTCGTCGGGGAAATTTAATATAGCTAAATGACCTCGCATTGCATATGCAGCTTTATCATAAGCTCTTGCAGCTTCTTCAGCTGTATTAAAAGTCCCTAACCATATTCTAGTACCTTGCCTCATCGAGTCTCGAATCTCTGCTGCAAATTTCCCCCATGGCCGCCTTCTTACTCCTCTATATCGAACATCTGATCCTCCTTCATTACCCTTTTCCTCCATTGTTGTTTTATGCTGTAATACTTGCATGCCTCTGACATTTATATATTAGGTGGAAAATGCAATTTCTCTAATCATCAAATGGACCAAATATCTATAAAAGATTTAAAAATTTCTGATCAATGGGAAATAAAGATTAACCCTATGATTGAGATAGGCTGGGAAAGCAAATAGAGCTGATGATGGCTTGAGCAAAGAAGGACCACTTTTCCTCCTCTGATTATTCTTCAACATTTTTAATATTTTCATATTCTTCTTGGTGATGTCAGGTCGATTACGTTGCATTGATTTCTCAACTTTGGTTGATTTTTTAACTGGAAATGCGAAATAATTAGATTAATCAGATTCTGCTTTCTGGGTATTTTTGATTATATAATCTTCCATTTTAGTTTACCCAAAATCCGAATGAGGTCATTAGGTGATTCAAGTGATTACATAAGCTTGATTGGTCATCAAGCTTACGTTAATGTTAGTTAGTTGTTTATAATTGTTTTAATCTGATTGATGACTTCTATGAGGCTAGATTTATAAAATATTAAAGATAATTAGGTGCGATTATAAGATTCTGAGTTGAAAAGAGACAAAGTTTTAGTAATGCATGTGTTAGCAAAATAATTAAGGTAGATGTCATGCTTTTGAGTTGTTAATGAGGTAATATGGCTTACGTTTGTATGTTTAATCACTTGCTTACGTTTTTCATTTTTGTTTATTATATTGTTATTCAGAAAGATTGCTTCCATTGATGCATGAACTAATGCCAACATTAGATGGGTTTGTTTGAATTTCCTTTCAATTGGACCCAACTTTTATACATTGATAAAAACAAAACTCAATTTAAGTAACTTGATTTCTTTTTTTAATTAGATTCCATCTTCAAATGACTCTAATATTAGTAGTTCAAAAATTTATAGTTTAATCAAGTTAAACGTCAATATAATTAAACTACGAATATTATTGGATTAATTTACCTGAATCAAAGTTTAGTTTTAAGTCTTTAAGCAATACTGAGAGTGTATAACATCATATATATCAACTATTGCATTTGAAAATATTATTTCTAAATTTAAAAATATTTCTTCTTTTTTATGAAAAAATGGGCACCATTAGGTTCTTAAGTGCTCATTTGACAATGCCTAAGATGGATTAGGGAATGCTAATGAAATTTAGTCACATGGATGGCCATGTAGTTTAGGTGCATTCATCTTACAATTTTTGGTATTACCTTTTGGCTAAGATGTTAAAGATGGGATCTTTTAGAGGCAAAAAGCCAAAGAAAATGGAGTGTTTAGAAATAATAAAATATATCATTATTTTAAACAATTAGACACATCTACTCAAACAATGAACATCAAAAGCTCTATAAAAAGTTGAGCCTTTCACCTTATTTAATATTAATTAATTACAAAGACAAAAAAAAAAAAAAATAATAATAATTAAGTATTTAAATACAAAAGAATTATTCTAAATGGTGGGGAAGATTTGTGGTGACGTTTGTGTGCTATGATCATAGTGATTATGGTGTTGTCAATTTCTTTATTATATACTTTATACAACTTGTTAAGGATTTGTCTTAATTTTTATAATGCAAAATAATTATTAAAATACAATGCAATAATGCATAATAATTATAAAAATAGAAAGCTAGTTGTGGTAGATCGTTATCTTATTGGCCCAACAAGGTCAGCCCTAATTTTTTAATTCTTGGGTTCAGGTGTAGAGAGTGACTTTAGGTTTAATCAAATTTAATAGATTAAGGTACAGATTTTAATAAAATTAACATTCTTTCATATGCTTGGTTTTATAATTAAAGTATTGGTGGTCTGACTGATTGTAATAGTGTCTTCTACTAGATAGGCCTATCTCACAAAGTCACATGCCCATGGGCCATCCAGTAATTGGGCTTGAACCTTTAATCTAGCTAGGCCCACAAAAGGACACAAGAAGCCCTATTTCGTCTGTGAATGCAAACTTCGGGGCTTTCAAGTAATTGGCCTATTGGACCTTGTTATGGATGAAAAAATAATGAACCATCATGATCAAGCTCCTCCACATGCAGCATTAAGGGGTAGCTTTCAAGTGTAGACCACACCACGACATACTTGCGTCTATCACAAGTTTACATTACACGTTCATATATTCAATTACATATTATTATCAACTATCAAGTGAATCTTTAAATACCTCATTACTGTCCTTTTCCCCTCTTCTTGTCATTATTAAATCTTATCTCCTCCCTTTCTAATGAAATCTTTCCTTTATCTCTTTCTCTTTACCTTCTGTACAAGTATAATCTTTCCTCCATGGAAAAAAAAACCCTAAACCCATTGGTCAACTCCTCTCCTCTTCTTTGTCTCTACTTCTAACATTTCTCATGCAAAACTATTCTGACATGGCAAGAACACTCAAGAACTCTATCTATCAAACACCTTCATCACCTAATTCAGATCATGCTTTTCCTATACTCTCCATTGCTGTACTAAGCATCATCGTCACAGCTTTCTTGCTCTTCTGCTACTATGTCTTTGTAAACAAATGTTGTGCTAACTGGCATACTTTGCTGAGATGCGTTACTATCTGGCGAGCTAGAAGAAGTGAAGATTCATTTATAGCTCTCTCTCCAACAATGTGGAATAATAGAGGGCTCGATGAATCTGTCATTCGCGGAATTCCTATATTTCAGTATAGAAGAGGAGAAAGCGAAGAACGAAGCATATGTGGGTGTGTTGTGTGTTTGAATGAGTTTCGTGAACAAGATATGCTTAGAGTTCTTCCTAATTGCAGCCATTCATTTCACTTGGATTGTATTGATATATGGCTTCAGAGCAATTCTAATTGTCCACTTTGTAGAACAAGCATTTCAGGCACTAATAGTAGATATCCTATTGATCAAATCATTGCGCCTAGCTCTTCGCCTCAGGGTTCACAGCCTTACACTGATAGCTTAATGGGTGGTGATGAAGATTTCGTCGTAATAGAATTAAGTAGAGAAGAGGAAGGAGTTCTTTTACCTAATAGGCAGCAAGAAAGAGATGTTACAAGAGAATTCAGGAGTCAATCACCTGCAAAAATGGATCAGAAGGTTAGAAAGTTAAAATCGCAACAACGCCATCACCTTCCGATCAAGGGGGATGAGTGTATTGATGTAAGAGGGAAAGATCATCAGTTCTCTATCCAACCGATTAGAAGATCATTTTCATTGGATTCTGCTGTTGATCGACAGCTTTATTCAAGTGTTCATGCTATTATTCAACAACATAGACATCAGATAGGGATGAACACTAATGAAGAAAGTAGTAACAGTGTCCAAAGATTATTGCTTCCATTTGGTCATGCCAGGGGATCCAGAAAAGCAGTTTTTCCTATTGAATTTGAGCAATGAGTGAGATTATTAACTTTTTTTTTAATTCACTTTTGTTCCTTTCAATCTGGCTTTTTTCAAGTGAGGCAGGCAGAATTTTCCAAAATCGTAGTCTGTTTAGATTGTTATTTGAACTTTTGTTGAGTACGTCGAAAATGTTGATTAGAAGTCATTGAAGTTTATTTTTAAGGTGAATTTCACATCTCCAGTTAGAATAGCTAAACAGTATCAACAAACTTTTTTTTTTTTTCAATTCAGTCCAAAAATGGAGCTCATTCGTGTAGAGATGAAAACATAAGGTGGCTTTTGATTCACATGACGATAAAAAAGTATGGAATGAAATGTAAGCATGCGTATGAGAATCATTGCCTAAACCACTATAGAAGGTACGGTTTCTCTCTCTCCATCAATAGATATTGAGAGAGACAGACAAAGAGAGGATATGGAGGCAAGTGTAATAAAAGGCTGCTATTATGGAAGAGAGGGGACCCAACAATTAGTAAAAACCAAAAAAACAAGCCTTCCAAGAAATGATTACCCTCTTCTTTTCTCTTTCAAGTAATGATGTTGGTGTTGGTAAAGACCAGAAAAGTATAATTTTGCATAAGTTTGTTTCATTATGGATTTAAGACACTGAATAATCTCTTCAACCAAAGCTCCATTTTGTATCCAGTAAGAGAGAGGTTGAGAGAGACTCATAATAGTGTCATAAGAAAGTGAAAACAACAGAGTAATGACACATAAATACACACTAATAAAACATCATGAGTAACACTCTATCTTATTGACATGAACATCATAAAGATATTCCAGGTGGAATCAAAGTTTAAAAAAGAAGAATTGTGGAACTAAACATAATATCCTCTCCCTCCCTGAGATACCTGAAGTTGACTCCTGCCTGGCAAGCATTATTCCAAGTGTTATTATTTCCTAATAAAGTGATATGTAACAAACCATGACAACAAGACTTTTTTTTTTTCCCTCAATTTCAGTGAATAAAGTAATTTTAAACTCCAGAGACTCCTAAAACAATCTAATTTCTGCAACTAATTGATCAGCACCTTCCTTGAATCGCCTTTCTAGTGTCCCAAGTGCAGCCATGAAGAAAGACATCACAGCCCATAAGCACTGAGCTCATCAACAAAATATCTGGAAATCAGGATAACCAATCAGAGTCAATATTTTCTAAGTATATTAAAATTGATGTAGCATCTGATGCAAGAGTTTGTAAGAATAACAACATTATTGAAGAAACTTAATTTTTTGTCTTCACAAGATAAATATTCCATAGATGTAGTATTTGTTATCAGGATAATGAAATTGGACTTGGATTGGAGTACAGACAAAAATTACTAAACAAGTACCTTTCAAGAGAAAATCCAGTACTTGAAAAGCAAAACAAAGTGATACTAATCTTTCATTTTATGAACTAACCAATACTGAATTAACTTCATCTTCATAACATTTTTTTTCTATTTCAAACATTATTCAGTGCGTTGAATAATAAAAGCCACCTGTGTATACAAGAAATTGATAATTCTGATACATGAAAGAGAGATGGAAAAAAAAAAAATCATCACAGGCCTTCGCTAATACCAGAAGGAAATTAAAACACAAACTAACCCGAACAAGAAATGGAGCAATCTGCCAGCTGTGATCAGATTATATGCTTCTTCACTTCTGGTTTAAGAGGAAAATCAGGCAGAACAGGTAACATATAGTGTCTTGGAACTCATGCTTTACGGATGCACCTTCAGCTTTTGTTTTTAATTGTTCAAGAAGAACACACAATTGACCAAGACATAAGACAAATATGAACGTTATGTCCCACTAAATTTCTTGCCACTTTGTTGCTGCCATGACGAATGCAAATGTCACATATATATATGTATCTTTGGCAAAATGATTGCTTATCAAAAACCAAAATATGTTCCAAGAAACGCTCAAAATTATTAGTGCAGTTAAATTTTATCCGACTTCAATAGACCAAGCCACTAGTTTGGGACTAATTCTCAGTTGTTAATGTTTAATAGACCATGTTAGAATTAATCTCAAATAATTCCACAATAACCTAGATCATGCACACCACTAGATTCAACAAAATAGATTGAATAAGAAAAGGTTGCGTACCCTCAACAAATTATTAAGTGCAGTTAAATTTTATCCGACTTCAATAGACCAAGCCACTAGTTTGCGGACTAATTCTCAGTTGTTAATGGTTTAATAGACCATTGTTTAGAATTTAATCTCAAATTTAAATTCCACAATAAACCTAATCATCCCACACCACTAGATTCAAACAAAATAGCATTGAATAAAAAAGGTTGCGTACCTGACATCGTTGTTCGTCGATCTTGATGTGCAGAATTAGGTTTGCAGCCTTCCAGAGAATTGAAGAATCGATTTAACGGAAGCAGTACGAAAGGAACGTAAAACTGAATCGTATTCAACTCCTCTGGGGACCACAACCTTTATATACCTGTAGGTTAGTACAATTCCTATTTCGCTATTTCGTTAGTACAATTCCTATTTCGGTCCTTTAAAGAAATAGGAATTATATAATGGTCTCTACACTTAATATCTATAATTAGTTGATACCTCAATAGTCAATTATTCACAATCAAGACCGCATTTAAAATTGACTTTATAATTAGACTGCTGTACATATTTAATTTTACATATTAAGCCCACAATAGAAAATTAAATCCAACAATCTCCCACTTGGGCGACATATGTTAAATAAAATACATACACCAAAATGAGCTCAACAAACGCAGTCATACGAGGTATCCAAAAACAATCTCGTCCATTAATTATATTGATAAAGAGCTGAAGAAACATTCGCCATAGATCTTATGACTAAGTTCATCATCAACTACCTTACCAATACCCCTAAATGACACAGATTCATTATAGAAGTGTAGGATGAAAACTAAATGTAATGTGATCATCATGTTTGTTTCCAACTGGTCACCAACAAAAGTGAGATCAAGCAAAACAATAATAATACAGAGTGTAACCATCAACCAAAATGAGTACTCAATAAAATTTCATCAACATAATAAAACATATCCAAAACAAAATAGAGCATTCAAAAACATAGCATTCAAAACCATAATGTATACATAAAGAGCAGACTCCCACTAAAACTAGACAGTCTCAAACAAAACGATACCCATATGAGCGGTGTGCTCATGGAAAACTTTCGGTATCAAAACTTTCGGTATCACTGCCTTTGTAAGCGGATCCGCAATCATAGAGTTTGTTCCAATATGCTCTAAGGATATCTGTCCACTCTGTACCCTCTCCTTCGTAGCCAAGAACTTAATGTCAATGTGTTTTGATCGAGAGAAGAGCTCCTGTTGTTGTTGGAGAATAAAACGGCTGACCTGCTGTCACAATACAACTTCAGTGGTCTTTCTATTCCACCTACTACACGCAGCCCATTGACAAGGTTTCTCAGCCAAATAGCTTGATTGGATGCCTTATAAGATGCTACAAATTCAGCTTCCATGGTCATGGTGGAGGTTGCCACTAGAGTTTGTTTCACACTCTTCCAAGAAATAGCACCACCAGCCAATAGAAAAACATAGCCAGATGTGGATTTTCTTCTGTCTTGGCATCCAACGAAATCAGAATCCAGCGAAATCAGAATCAGTATACCCAATGATCTCAAGCTGATCTGATCTCCTATATGTGAGCATATGTCCCTTAGTCCTCTGAAGATATCTCATGGCTCTTTTGGCTGCTTTCCAATGATCCATTCCTAGATTGCTGAGATATCTACCTAACATGCCAACTATAAAAGAAATGTCTGGACGAGTACAAACTTTAACATACATAAGACTTCCTATAGCTGACGTATAAGGAACCTTTTGCATTTCCTAAATTTCAAGTTCACTCTTTGGACATTGTTGATTACTAAATTTATCACCTTTTGCAATAGGGGTATCCAATGGTCTGCTAGAATTTCTGCATAACTAAATCTCTTGAGCACTTTTTATCAATATAGCTCTTTTTTGTGATAATCCAAGAAATTACTCGAGAACGGTCCTCCGATGTATCTGAAATCCCTAAACAAAAGAAGCTTCACCTATAAATCTTTCCCATCTCAAAATGCTTTGAAAGAAAAACTTTGGTTTCATGTAGCAAGACTTTAAACAATTAGTAGGCAAGAAGTAATGTCATCCACAATATAAGAACCAAAAAGATAAACCTACTCCCACTGAACTTTATGGTAACATCACTATTTTCAACAGTTATTTGCCATTTGCCTCAAAGCCAAACGAGACAATTACTTAGTTGAACTTAAAGTACCATTGACGAGAAGCTCGCTTGAGTCCATAAATGGATTTCTTTAATTTGCATACCAGATGTTTTGGATCTCCAATTACAAAATTTTCTGGTTGCACCATATATATTGTTTCATCAATGTTGCCATTGAGAAACGTAGTCTTAACATCTATTTGATGAAGCTCAAGATCAAGATTTGCAACTAAGTCCATGATTGTCCTAAAAGAATCCTTCGAAGAAACTGGAGAGAAGGTTTCTTTATAGTCAGTCCCTTCCTTTTGAGTAAAGCCTTTTGCTACAAGACGTGCGTTATATCTTTCCACATTACCTTGAGAATCCCTTTTGGTTTTAAATATCCATTTGCAACCAATGGGTATTTGCAACCAATGGGTTTCTTTCCTTCAGGTAATTGAACAAGATCCCAAACTTGATTGTCTTGCATAGACTTATACTCTTCGTTCATTGCCTCAATTCACTTATGAGAGTCAGAACTCTGCATAGCATGATAAAAACTAACTGGATCATCATCTATCATGTCTACAGTATCCTCATGTTCCTGAAGAAACACTATATAATCATCTGGAATAGCACTTCTTCACTTCTTCTCTCCCTAGTAGATCTCCTCAAAGGCATTTGAACAGACTCTAATTCTTGAGGTTGTTGAATTTGTTCTTAAGGAAGAATAGCATTGTCTGGAATTGGATCTTGAATAGTGACAGGAGCAACTGGAGTCTGTACGCTATCAGAAACAACAAAAGGAATGAGAACCGAATCATCCTTACTTGGTTCCTCTTTAAAGACAATGTTTCTTTCTTTATTTCTCCCTCCAAAATCAACATCCTCAAAAAATGTTGCAATTCTCGTTTCAAAAAAAAGTTCTGGAAGTAGGATTATAAGGAAGTAGGATTATAAAACTTGTAACCC